CACACACACACACACACACACACACACACACACACACACACACACGCCTCCCTTTTCACCTTCTTTCCCTCTCCCCTCTTTTTTGCTTCCTTTCCGTCTTCTGGTTTGTGTTCAGATCAGGTTTTAATATTCAAAAATATGTACTGTCTTTATGAGCCATTGCTTTGCTGAAATAATATGCTCCCTAAATCAAAGTAATAGTCTGAGGCGGTGCACTAAATAGAATTCACCAGAGTTTCCTAAAAGTATCCGTCTCTGTCTGTGAAGGCAGTGAAGGGTGGAACAAGCCCCCGCGACAGAAAACACAGCGTTGCTTTTAAAATCTACTCTGGTGTCGTTGCAGCTCGCTGGATATTTATTCGATGAACGTCCTCGCATTCGTCAAACCGTGAGTTGCCTGTGTAATGTAAGCTTTACCCTGGTGGACTGGAGTCCCTGGTCAGGGCTGACCTCCCAGATCCATCGTCTCCAACGCGTACTTATCTTCTTACTTCACTTCGCTCTGAGCTACATCTGGATCTTCTCCTCGCAGTTTGAAACCACCTGAGGGCCAGCTCTATCTCCGTCTCGGCGCTGACATGTTTAAGGGCCCCAGGTTCTGGGCTTTTTACGCAGCACTGTGTTAAAAGTGATGTACAGTTGTGACTCCGAAGACAAAATACTGGGCGTGTATTGTTTTACATTACATTACATTACAGTCATTTAGCAGACACTTTTATCCAAAGCGACTTACAATTCAGAGTCTATCACATTTCTACACCGTAGGCACAGCTACGGGAGACATTTTGGGGTTAAGTGTCTTGCTCAAGGACACATCGACATGCAAGGACACAGGCCCTGCTATCCACTTAGCCACAGTTGCCCCACTTTTACATTGTCACCCCTGGCTTCTCATGGATCTGCTGTTCTGCTGGGATAACAGCCCAGAGTGTACTTTAAGAGACTCACCTTTTAGAGACAAGTAGTTACAGTTGCAGGTGGGGAGGAGAGGTTCGTGATGACGTACCGATATTCATGTGCTCATTCGCAGAAGAACGCAGACAATACCTGTGACAAACCTGGCTACTGCTGAAGATTGCACATTGTTGTAGTCACTAAATATCCAGCTAAAGGGTCGACTAAATCGAGCACTACAGCACTCCGAGCTTTGAAATCTGAATTGCAGGGCTACTGAAAAATCCCCCGCCCTTCCTTTACGACACACACACACATACACCCACACACCAGAAATATAATCCGTGGTCTAAGGACGCAATCAAAAACTGCAACCTGACATCAGCGCAGCCTTCCACGGCAATCCTCGGAGTGGTTAGCTGTTGTTAGCCAGCTCGGCCCGGCGCTGACAGAGACTAACTGCTGTTTAGAGAACGCATGCTGCCTGTAAAGAGGCGCCGCGTTGCCAGCCCTGCCTCAAGGATACGGGAGTGGAAAACACTTATCGGCTTTACTAAACAAATAACTGAAAAGGGGCATTGCGTGACATTAAAGGGGGAAGGAAAATATGACGACCCAAACAAACCGAGACTCTCGCATTAGATCACCAATAATTGAGATGGAATATGGACTATTAGTGCCCGTCACAAGTCCACACACCACAACCACCACCGGAAAATCAGCAAGAAAACATTATATATCAACACGGAATGGTGATTTGTGATTTGAAAAATACACAGGTCCAGTCTGAAATCCACAGAGCAATGTACAATGATAGATGCAGGGGAAAAGAGAGCAGAGGAGAGCCAAGAGAAAGGGGAAAGGAGAGGAGAGGAAGGGGGAGAGGAGAGGAGAGGCTGTAGTGCATGCACTTGCAACATGTTGCAACATTGGATAAGCCTCTACCTGAGTTCCTGCAGTCGTCTCCTTGCTGAGGGACCTGAACAGAAAAGGCCAGCAGGTCAGGAGCCAGCAGAGATTCAGGTCTGCGTATCTCGTTGAGCCAGCGGCTCATGTGGAGTTCTTTGGTGTCGGATGGGCCCTGAATCAGAGGAACCAGCTTCTCCTTAACACCCTCTCCCGAACCTGAGACACAAGGGTTAAAGGCTAATTAGGGCCCGAGCACCGACGTAGTCGAAGCGGAGGACCTATTGTTTTTCAATTGTTTATTATTATTATTATTATTATTATTCTTAGTGTTTCGTCGCAAAAAGGAGGCGCTTGGGATACTGGAAGAATGTCGAAATTTGGCACGCAAGCCAGAATTTGCGAAAATTGCAGTCTGATTGTGGTGTCCAACTACGGTATGAAATATTGGCTCGATAGCGCCCCCTATTGAGTAGCCCCAACATTGGGTTTCACCTAGCTGTATGAAATTTGGTAGGTATGTGGAACGTGATGAGACGCACAAAAAATCCTCTTGGAGTTTTTCATTAAACCAAACAGGAAGTCGGCCATTTTGACTTTTATGACGTTTTTGACCATTTCAAGGCGTCATACTTTAACGAACTCCTCCCAGAGATTTGACCCGATTGACTTCAGATTCGGTCAGTATGCTCTTGAGACCTTGGCAGTGAAAAGTTACTCAAAGATCAAAAAGTTATCGAACTATGTGTCCGTGGCGTCAAAAAAAACATCATTCGCCGCGAAACAGGAAGTTGTTGTAACTCAGCCGTACATTGTCTAATCTGCTCCAAATCTCTCATATGTCATAACATCCTGACTCGGAACACATCTATCTGACAATTTAGAATCATAGTAATAGCGCCACCTCGTGGCAACCGGAAGTTGTAAGTTGTGTACTTTGACATCCTGCTCCTCACAGATTAATCAGATCCCTCTAAAATGTTGTCAGAAGAGCCTTAAGACCTTGATAATGCTTCATTGTGAAGATTGTAGGAAGTTATTGAAGGGCGGCGACGTGGCGGCTCGGCGAATTTGGATCCTTCGCCATGAACGAATAAACTGATGTAACTCGACTCCACATCATCAGATCTTTACCAGATTTCACATGTTTGATGAGACTCCAGGCCTGAAGACATATGCAGGCCAATTTTGAATTATAGTCATAGCGCCACCTACTGGTAACAGTCAGTTAAAGTCTTTATACTGTGGCTTGTTTCTCTTAGTAGGTAAATCAGATCAACATCAAATTAGTTCCACACAAATATAAGAAGTTCATAATGCTTTTGATGTGTCGTCGAACGCCGTTGCCGTGGCGATGCAGTCTTCGCCGTTAACAACGAAGGTAATTTTGAGAGGCTAAAAATGCTCGAAACATAAGCAAACTTGGCATACACATTTAAAGCCCAAAATGTAGTTATATAATATGATTTTATTGGTTCAGAGTGGCAAATCGGCTCAATAGCGCCCCCTACAAAATTTCAACAAAGCAGCCCTCGCTGTACGTTTCACATAGATTTACAAAATTTGGTAGGCACATGTATCACATGTGGACTTAAAATAAAGTCTCTTGGGACCATGCTCTAAACCCAACCGGAAGTCAGCCATTTTGAATTTTGTATGAATTTCTCGTGGTTTTTTCCATTTCCAGGTGCTGTACTACGAACTCCTAGGGAATTAATCCGATCAGCTTAGAATTTGGTCAGAACAATCTAAAGACCTTAGCGATTAAAAGTTACTAAAAGCTTTAGGTTTCATCGAACGACGTGGATGTGGTGTGATGGCCATTTTACATGGTTCACCATCATCCATCAAGCTGTTGTAACTCGACTGTACTTTGTCAAAACTGTCCCAAACTTGACATGCTTGTTGACTGTCATGGCTTTAGGACTTCTGCATGCCAATATTAACTCATAGTCATAGCGCCACCTACTGATAAGCATGGACGTAAGCAGGATTCTATAATTACAGCGGCCCAAACACTGAACTTATTGAAAGGGTTTGTGGGCGCACCATGAGAAAAAGACTTCTCTGATCTAAATATGTGCAAACTAAGACGCTTGGAGAGCAAAAGTTAGATAACAGTGGATTTTCAAACCACGTCAGTGGGCATTAGTATAAATGATCTGTCCAGAGTTTCTTCATGACAATCAGGTTAAACATTACCATGAATGCTTCACACTACAATCTAAAGCTACAGAAGAACTTAAAATGAAAGCAGTGTTAAATTAAAGTGTTCAAGTAACAGCAAATGGCACTACCGTTTTGTTAACTTTCATGTAAGTCCAAATACAATCAGCAGGACACTGCAGGGAGTTGAACCCCATCCCAGTAAACTGACAGTCTGTTATGTTACAAACACTGAAGCACATTCATTTTCTTAATGATCTTTAAAGGCTTACATTTATGATTGTATCGGATGTACACTCAAAACATTTGAGGCTTAAGACCTGGCAACATGATCTTGCTACGCTGCTGGTCTAACCAGGAAATATCTCACGCGTGCACGCAGAGTGTGATGGTGACAGAAATTCATGGCCGCGTCACCCAGAGTCCTGCCAGTACCGGGAAATACCGTTTAACTCGTGCACTCAGTGTATGACGGTCACAGAAATGCATGGCCAGAGTCCTGCTAGTACCCTCGATGTACGTGAAGTTGCGAGGGCCCGATCAATGCTGCTCGCAGCTTTAATTAAGATATTGAAACTCCCCCAGTGAACCACAGTTTCTAAAAAAATATTCATAGTCACAGTTCTTGGCTTTAATGACTGACAGACTACAAACAAAATCCCAATGCCATATGTAAACTGTCTTTTAGTGAATTAAACTAAAAGGAGAGAAAATAATACCCCAAATATTGAACACAGTTTGTGCTTAAAGGGTTTCGATATTAATTTAGTAGCTATGTTAACATATATTCCAGCATTTACATGCAAATAAATCAACAGTTTGGGCCTACAAAGCAACAAGAGACAAGTAAAAGACGGCATGTCATCCATGACCAAGCTGCAGATGAAATCTGAGGGGAAAAATGCTAAAAATGTTATTACAGTGCTGCAGAAACTAAATATGTCAAATGGACAGTACTGCTTGTCTTTTCTTATATGTGCATCCCCTGGAGATGTTCATCTTGAAATAAGAAAATGAACTGCACTTGATTTGTTTGCCTCTTTGTATTTCTATATTAACAGCTGCAATAGATGTCATAATCTGCCTGACATCATGTGTGCAGTTTGACCCCGTGCTGCGACACTAGCTCCAGTAACATCGTCGTCATCAAAGACATGACCGCGCCCCCCGGGAGAAAAAACAGCGACCCAATCCCAGAGCTGGAAGGAAATCAAGATGAAGATAGAGCGGGAGAAAGAGAGCGAAGTGTGTAAAAGTACAATTTAAAAAGAAAGTAAAGGAAGAGTCTAGTCGGTCTCGCTCTCTCCCTCCTACACAGGCAGTAAAGTTTTAACAGGGCACAGCTGCACACACCTGGGGTCCTGGCGCACACTTTTACGGCTCCCACAGTTCCCGAGGCGCATTTCACCGTCGCACGGCTGCAGAGCTTCAGCTCCAGGTTTTGGACCGAGCCCTCGAGGGTCGGTGACGGGCCCGGAGACTTCACACCTAATAAAAAAAACACAAACAGAGTGAAAATGAAGTGCAGTCCGGGAAGGTTTAAACACCGCTGCCGTGGCTTCGTTTAACACTTGATTGGCCTTTAATTGGTCTTGACCCCTTTCTTTCCCTCTCTGTCCGTCTCTCCCAGAGTTGTGAGAAACCAGGTGCTCCGGAACGCTGATATCACCAACACCAGGCGTTTATCTCGCCTCTCACAGGGATACTTGTGGTGCCCCTGTTTGCAAGGTTAACCTGTTGGTGTGTCTCCGTACCATAATGACAAAAACACTTTTAGATATTATAGTAAGCTGTTACAGTTTGCCCCAACATAAATGAACTGACCCTCAAAGCTACAATAAATAAATAACACATTTTACTATCATGTTTGATACGCCTTCATCAGCACCTGACGTCTTCGTTCTGCTACAGTTTATGTCAGTCCCTAACACATTTGAAATGTTTATGACTTAATGCTTTACTTCTTTGTGGGTAGTTATCTGTGAGTACAAACTGACAGGGTGTGATTTAAAAGCGGTACATTGTATTTGTATTTTGATCCCTCTGGATTTAGACAGCTTCCTGTGGGAGCATTTACAGTACACTGATGGGACTTTTGGATGCAGCAACGTCTCAACAATCACAGCCATAAGGTATTACAAAAGTGACCAGCAAGGGTATAAAAAGACATTAAAAAAACAACCTTAAATTGTGAAGTGCCCGTTTTAAATGTTTTACAAGTTCCCACTAAATCTACTGGGTTGAATGACTTTCAGTTGAATAACAGGGACTATTAGGAGTGTGAGTAATGGGCCAATATAAAGGATATATCTTTCCAAAACAATATCCAATGCAGTCACACCAGCATCCAGCTTAGTGTCAACTACAACTCACCTAACAGCAGCATTACATCACAGGAGCCTCCAGTGCTCCTCGCTCTATGAGTAGTTCTCCTAATGGCAGCACAGTGTGGAAGAACCCACCGTCTGCCATCTTTCCAAAATGAAACTGTTTGCACTGTGTGAAGGAGTGTGGTGGTGGGGGGTAGGGGGGTGGATTACACACTGGTCATTATGATATGTCAATGCTATTTCTATGGCGAGAGGCTATTTCAAACATAACAAGAGGAGGAGGGAGGAATGGCTGGACGGCTAAAAGATACTGCAGAGTTTTGGGGCGTTCGGTGCCAAAGCGCCTGTTGAAAGAGGAGAGGAGGACCCATCCATCACATGCTACATTCTTCCAGGGAGCACATCAAATTCTTACATCACCTGTTCCAGCAAGGCTTCGCTTCTCACAGTAATCCCCCCCTTTTTTTTAACGGCGATAGCACTTAATTTCCTACAAGTGTCCACAGTACTTTCTGACTGAGTTCACAGATCGGTGGGGCAAAGAGGAGCTCGCAAGTCAAATGTAAACACAAATACAGGAAAGGTGATCCAGAACAAATGAAGCAGATGGACACCAGGGATGTACTGCGTACTGGTGCGGCTATGAAAGCACAACAGGTCATTATTTGGCACCAGTTCCCGAAGCTACCAGAAAAAAGAAGTTGGTCGGGACATCTTAAAGTTTTCTTTCATCCACATCCACTTACTGTCTGACTTCCTGTACATTTCTTACTATTTAACTCTTCTAGCTGTAAATAAACTCTTCTTACTCTCCACTTATCTCCTCCCCCCTTTCCTCTGTCTGTACGGTCAAATCACTACACATTTGTACTTGCTTAGGTTGGGAAGGTTGTTTAACACAAAAATGAGCACATCGTAGTTCTGTTTGCAGTTGTTATTCCCAATCAGCTAATAGTTGGAATAGTAGTTTGAATGTAAAACAGCAGGCAGTGTGGATTCAAGTAGACACAAGCGTGTACACACGGCACATTTAACCTGGAGAATTACTGCCAATTGCTAAAATCCCTAACCGCTGACTTCCCTCCTCTCCCTTTCTCTCTCTCTCTCTGAGACAAATTACCCAGCAACCTCTTCACCTGCTGTCTGAGAGGCCCTCCATCAGCCCAGATGGAAGATGGGGATGTTAATAACCCTCCCTCTGTCTCCCCCCCTGCCCCTTAATGTATCTGCAGGTCAAACAGAGCGGTGCTGCGTGTCCCTCTGCGGCTCCAGTTACCTGCTTCTCTACAGGACAGATGTTCCATGTGAAGTGTAGAGCTGGTGGATTATTTCAGCTGCACTGTATGTTGCCTGCAGAAATATCACTGTGTTTTTAAGGGATAGGTAAAGCCTGACACATACCTTTAATTACTGTTCAAAGAAAGGACAATACTGTCAAAATGATGAATTAAGGACCACAAGGATTCTTTTTTTTTTTTGTTGTTGTGGTCATACAACATACAAAGAACATACAAGCACACATATTGTTTCAGAGAACAGTTAAAGCAGTGTTTTAGATGAGTTTTGCCATGGTCCTATCTTTTTACACAATGAGTTTTCAGAAGAAATAGTGACCCTATTGACCATTTTTAGAGAGGCATGCATGTGCAAGCTCAAATATACACGTACAGACATTTGGGTTATTTGATGTGATCCAGTACCAGAGGGAGAGATAGAGAAAGACATAGGCTCTACATTAAGCTGGGCTGCCCTGCCTGGAAACAATATAGCTTACATACACATGCCATAAAAGTACTGCACCAGACATTTGGCTTTATTATGGAGTGCGTCTCGGTGAACCCAGAAACACATGACCCTTGAAGTACCCAGAATATGGTGGAGAGCGGATATCCAGACCCAGTGACCGATTGGCCTTTTTCAAAACAGTCCTGAAGGAGAAATGGTTGCAACAGTGATGAGTAGGCCTCCACACACGCTGCCTGCTCCCTTGAGCACTTCATTCCTTTAGGAAAAGATGGAGATGTTGAAAGCGCAAGATCAATCTGGAACTCAACAGGGGCCATTCCCCCCTGCTCTATTTACTCTTTGATAAATGGAACTAGGGGTATCACTATCCCACATTGCCCACGTAGATGTCCTAGAGGGCACGGTGCACCTGCTGGGGTGGTTGGTGGTTGCGTGGGGGGGCTCTGGACAATGTATTGCCCAGCTGTTAGACTATAAAAAAAAAA